AGGCTGAGGAAAGCATCTCTACCATGGGGTTGCATTTACTTCAGATCCCAAGTAGGGTGAGGAGCACATCTGTGGCGGAAGGTGGACAGCCCTGTGTGCAGTGGCAGAGCCTGAGGGGAGTGAGAAGGCCGGCAGTACTGGGTAGAGGACAGGGGTAGCTATGGAAGATTGGGTACATGCAGGGGGACTGACCAAATAACAAATGTGCTGAGGATAATGGGAGCAAGATTTCTCACCATTGGAGAAGAAAAATATAAATGTTAAAAGAGAAATAGAATGAATCTTGTCACTTGGGGTTGGAATGGGAAATACCAATATGAACTGATGGATCTCAATATAGATGGATAAAGAAGTAAATATAGATGTAAATAAGTGTGTGTATTTTCCCTAGCTCTGCCCCTAAGAGGTCCTTAGAGTAATGGCACCCTAGTTAGTGATGAACACTCTAATCTGACTTCCAGATATTATTCTTTATTAAGGGGGACAAGGGCTTTTTGAGGAAATGGGTGATTACAAAGGCTTGGGAAAATACAAGATGAGCCTGGGACCCTGGAATATCTATGTCAGAGAGTAAAAAGGTGCTTGAAGATGGATGGGACACGTCAAAGAACACAGAAGCCAGATTGAAGGGACTCCCACTGGCCAGATGAGGCAATTTGAGAGTCAAAATAAATAATCATACAGATTAAAACTTACTGAACAATATAGGACCCTCATCATGAGTTTGTTTTGATATAAATGAATTCATTGAAAGTTTGATGAGCAACAGTATATTTACATATATTCAAAATACCTCCCAACAAAATACTGATAATTACAAGAGGGGAAAATGTACCTTTGCAGTGAGAAAGCCTTGTAGACATCATTTGAATTAAATGTTCAAAGTGAACATCACCAAGATGCAATTTGAGTAACACAAATCAGTTCTGGGATATTGTTGCTCAAGTTGGATAAACGGAATCCAACCCACAAACACATATCCAGGGACATTTTACAGAATAACTGTGAGTAATCTTTGTAAGTGTCAGTTTTATGAAAGTCAAGGGAAGGCTGGAGACTTGTTCCAGATTGCTGGAGACTAAAGGAGACTAGAGAGACATGACATTGAAGTGCCATGTGAGATTCTGAACTGGATCCTTTTGCTCTAAAGAACATTTATTGGGACAATAGCTGAAACATAACTGGCATCTCTGGATTAGATGGTAGTAATGTTTCAAAGTTCATATCCTAGTTTTGATAGTTGTATTTGATGAGGAGAAGAAAGAATGTCCTTGTTTGTAGGAAATACACTAAATAATTGAGGGTGATAAGGTATTATGCAGACAACTTAATTTTAAGTGTTTCAGGAAAAGCTATTTCTCCAACTGTTCTTGCAAGTTTGAGAATGTTTCCAAGTAAAAAGTTAAAACCACAGGCAAACTGAGCAAAGATCAGAAACAGAGAACTTGGAAGGAACTAGGGGAGGAGAAAGGCAGAGAATGGAGTAAGAAGCTATTATCTGAAAGAAGAGGAGGAAAGATGAAAGAGAATCAGTCTGTTCAGAAGAGGAGCTTGAGAGGAAATGAGATGCTGACAAATTAAAGGTGAACTTGGTAATGGATTTGGAGAAGTTGGCAAGTTAACAGAGAAAAGGTTTGGTGAGTGGGAAGATGAAGAAAAGAATAGGGTGGAGAAGAGAGCTAGTGTTCATTGATGGCCTTCTGTGTATTGTCCTTGGCTAGGCATTTAAATCCTGTTTAACTTTTACATAAACAAGTAAGATGAAAATTTTATCCACATTTAATAAATGGATAAACTAAGGCTCAAAGAAGTTAAGTAACTAGCTCAAAGTAATATAGCTGGTGAGCAGAACCAGGATTTAAATGCCCATGTGTGTGATTTCAGTGACAATGGGACAGTAAAGAAATGGTGCCATCAGGTCAGGGAAGGGAGAGAATTAATCCCCCTTGCTCCCTGAGATTGGAGGGGGCTGAGAGAATGAGTGAAAAAGGGACGGTGAGGGTTTGGAGGCTGGGACTGAGGTAAGGACTTGAATGATCTGAAGAAATGTGTTGTTGAAGTCAAAGGGAAATGGCAGAAAAAGCAAAGGAGGGGAAACATTGAGAAATACCATCATTTTCAGGTGAGAGGTCAAACAAGAATTGATTGGCAGAGGGCTTAGGGGACACAGTAGGCCAACTTCTCAAATGGCATCCAATGGTCCCCACCTCCTCGTGTTCACACCCTGGGGGGATCCTCTCCCCTTGAGTCCGGATCTAGTGACTTATTTCTAACCAAAAGAATATGGCAAACTTGCCAGGATGTCACTTCTGTGACTAGGTCACCCTAAAACTGGAACTTCCATTGTACTAGCAGACTTCGTCTTGCTGGTTTCAGTAAAACAAGCTGCCACGTTGGACCGGCCCATGAGTTAAAGAACTAGGACAGCCTCCATCTAAAAGCTGGTGGGAAACGAGGCCGTCAGCCCAATGACCTGTCAAAGTTGCCAACAAATATGTGAAGGAACTTGGAAGTAGATTCTGTCCCAGTTGAACCTTGATGGAGTCTTACAGGAGACTCGGGGCCACACTGCTTGCAGCCTGTGAGAGACCTTGAAGTGGAGGACCCAGCCAAGTTATTTCTGGATTTCAAATCCTCAGCAACTGGAGAATAAATGTGTGTTGTTTTAGACCACTGAGTTCTGGGACACAGTCCATCTTCGTTATTCAAGGATTGCGTACTTGCAAATTCACCTGCTCACCAACATTTCTTTGTGACGCCCAATACTCACTGCACTTTCATGGTCACTATGGACATGCACAGAGCAGTGAAAACTTTTGAGTTGCTTGATGCACACATTCCTGGATGAGGTGGAACAAGTCAAAGTTCTGCCTTCTTGATTCAACTCTCATATTGTAAACACGTGTCCTTTTCATGGCCCATTTAATGCCATGTTTTGTTGTTGTGGTGGTGGTTTTTAAAATTTGTGTTGGTGATTTCACTGTTTAAAATGATCCCCAAGCATAGCGCTGAAGTGTGTTTCTAGTGTTCCAAAACACAAGAAGGCTGTGATGTGCTTTGTGGAGAAAATATATATATTAGATAAACTTCACTCAGGCATGAGTTATATTCAGGCTGTTGGCTGTGAATTCAATGCTAATGAATCAACAACATATTTTTGATAAGGTGTATTTGAACAGAAACACACATAAAGCAAAGTTGTGTATTGATCAGTTCATGGATATGATGTGACCAGAGGCTGGCAGGAACCTGACCCTGTATTTCCTTTGGGAGCAATGGTGCAGTGTTCACTCATTCAGTGTTCTCAGTGACTTTCTAAGACACAACTACCTTGAATACTGAGAATCAGCTGTAAGTTGTTATGTGGCACTACAATAGACAGCAAATATGGGGGAAACGGGAATTTCAGTTCTCAAATCTTAGGAAAAGTATTTGTGACATGATCAAGTATCAGCGATACAGGTCTCTCACTAGGGGAAGGTTAGAGAGGTAGTAGATAACAGTTATTAATGAGTGTCTGTTATATAAGTATCATTAGGTTATGTATTAAATATTAATAATTTTGCCTGGCTAAAGTGAGTTATTTTGGGTGAATGTGAGTGAAACTCTCTAGGAAATTTGGCCTCACAAAGCAATCTCTTTGCTCTACATGGTCCCCAGCTGTGTGAGGATTGATGCGTCAAAAGGCACCAACTTAATTAAAAGCTCCATGACTACACAGGGTGATGTAACCCAAGGCAGGCTTCTGGCAGCTGCAGCCCAGGGAGGTGGCCAACCCAGGGGAGGCTGTCATCAGGAAAAGCCCCCTGGGGACCCAAAGTGTCCTCACACAGCTTTTCCATAATCTATGGCTGAAACTTCTGGCATCTATGGCTGACAGTTTAAGGGATCGTAGTTTTATTTACTTTTAACTTGAGCCCATAATTTTTTAAATTTTGTTCTTTAATTAGTCTCCCAGCTTCATGTTGAATTCCTGCTCCTACCTTTACCCCTTGCACTCACTCTAATGACTGTGCTAAAGTCCTTAAACATGGATGGGTTTCATATAATATGTAGTATTATGTGTGCAGAATTAGCAGTTACAAAAATGGCACTATGCCAAAAATAGTGAGTTCTTTCTTACTTTTTCCACTCTACCCTGTGATTTAGGTGTTTCCATATGAATGCATAATTTGTCGCTTCTAAGAGCTGCGTAATATACCATAGTGTGTATCTACCACATCTTACACATATTTTCTCCTAGTGCTGGACACTCAGCCTGCCTCCAATTCCCATTACCCCAGTGACATAAAGGAGCAGAATGAATGTCACAGTCCACCTTGTAGTATCACACCCTTCATTTGCCTGTAATTACTCCTCTTGTCCATCTTCCCTTCACTGGGACAGTGTGAGTTCACCAGAACTCATTCCTAGATCATGAGAACACGCAGTGTTTCACTTTCTGTAGAGCCACTTCTCATTTGGTTACTCCAGGTTCTCAGAAGCAGATTGGTTTAAAAAAACTCCACAATGGTAATTCCCGAATGCTTTTGCCTGAAGGTTGTAAAAGTTAAAAAATAACACTAAAAATAAAATGTTACTTAATATAAATGTATTTTCATTGTAAATGTAAAATGTATTTTAATTTTAAAATAAATGTATGCCATGAAAAAAGCAAGGAATAGAGAGAGGAGCTGACAAAATCCAATAACCATGAAACCTGAAGACACTTCCAATGTGAGAAATTGCTCATCCAGAGGGTAAACACACATTCTGAAAGCTTGTCATTGAGGCAAAGAAGACAAAAATAAAAAGAATAAAATTTGGGTAATAAGAATACCAAAATTTATACTATCCTCAAGTACCAAGTGACAGCCTACAATGGTATCCAGATAAGGTAGCCGCAAAGTGAAGCTTGAGAAAGATTCTCACTGAGTCAAAGAAGAGAAAGCCACTTGTGGAATTGATTTTTATTTTGTAATTATACAGATACTATATATATATATATATAGTGTTGCTACATATTTTTATATTAAACCACACTATTTAAGAATAATTTATTTCTTTATTTACCCAAAATCTAATAGATACTTTACTCTGATAATTCAACAGATGGTAGAAAATCTTTAAACATATAAAAGATTAATCTGTGCACACATAAATGTGTCTAAGGGAGCAAACTACTGAGGCTTTGCGATTTAGATGAGTGTTGCAGACATAGTACCATAAATGAGATCTTAGTAACACAAAGGCTTAAAGTAGTGACTTCCTCACACATCTTGGAGTATGTCTTAGAAGATAACCCCATAAAACATTGTATGGCTTCAATAGGAACTTCAGGATTTTCTTCCACACTCAGCTATTGCCCTCACTCCTTGACCATATCTTCTGGGCAGAGTTTTTGTTCTTTCTCTTAATCAAGGAGCTAAGCAAAGAGCTGTTGCCACTATGGAAAAACAACACTTTTGCCCCAATAACCCTTTGGTTCCCTTAACTACAAATCTACAGAAAAAGTGCAAAACAGTTCTCAGAAGTCAGAACCAAAGCAAGAATGCTCAGAATGCAAGACTTAGACAGCTGATGGTGTGAGAGTTTCTATCTGCCTACCTATCTGCTTAGGGATTATTTTTCCAGGAGTTTTCTAGGATTCTATTTATTTGGATTGAATTTACCTGGTGGCTTTTCTCTAGCACATGCAATTAAATTAATTTGCCTTTTTAGATAATAAAATAGCAAATGCCTAACTATCAGAGTGGTTCTACAGCCCATAGGACAGCCCAAATAAAATCATTGATTGGGAAAGGTGATTGTAATTTCCATGTAGGAAGGTTAAGCTTCAGACAGAATCCCACATGAGTAGTCTTCCATGCCAAGTCTGGACAAGTTCAAAGAAAATGTGAATGGTGAGCATGTTGCATGTCTGACTGAATTTAACAAAAGCCCTCTATCAACAGCTCTATGTCCTCGGGCTTCACCATTAAGCTGAACACTGGATTCTTCGTTACTTCCTGTGGCTGTGGGGACTGTGTAATTCATCTTCCAAAATGGGACACGACCGAGCAGCAGGAAGCATCATTAATAGTTATGTCAGGGCAACAGCAGTCAATGGGTGAACAAACCGGAATATTGGGTCACCATACTTAGGTCAGCACTAAGATGGGCTTCCAAAGGTGGAGCTGGGCTGTGAGAGAAGGCATGCTCTAGGGCTTTTCTATTAGACAAACCAGATGTTATGAGGCAGAACACCCAAAAGAACACAGCTCAGTGATGCTCAGCTGAAAGGGACCAAGAGGGAACATAGATAACTATGGCTGATGGAGGAGAGAGAGCCGGCCCGTGTGTACAAGGCCTGTCCGGAAGGCGGGTGGGAGACCAACATGAAGCAAATGAGGTCAGTGAAATGCAGTCACCTGTATGTCTACTTCAGAGCATTTCAAAGCTTATGCTCAGAGTACTATGGAAAGCTCTCCTGGATGTAGTTCCCACCCACTTTCCACTTTATTTTTGCTACCTAATTAGTAATAGGAGATAGTAGAGACCAACAATAGTACCCAGAGTAAGGTCAGGATTTCAACCACGCCTGTCAACAGCCAAAAACCTCGATGGCAGGCTTCCCTGGGGGTCATGGAAATGCCATCTTTTTCGTCAGGCCATGCATTTTTCTGCCTAACTTTATTTTTGAAGACTAAATTAGTTTGCAGACTTAACATGTGCATTCTGTTAGAGAAATGACTATCTACACAGACACAGGAAAGTGAGGCAAAGGATGTGTGTGCCAGAGCAGGGCTCAGCACCCTTTTCTATGAAGATTGTAATGTTTGCAGCTGTGTAGGCCACATGGTCTGTGGCAACTACTCAACTCTGTTATAGTAGGAAAGTGGCCACAGAAAGTTTATAAATAATTTTTGTGGCTGTGTTTTAGTAAAACTTTATTAATGAACAATGAACGTTGAATGATTTTCATGTGTCATGAAATATTAAAAACAATTTTTTCAATCCAAAGGGAGGAAAGCAGTCCTCACCAGGCCAGATGAAAGGAGGCGGGGCTACACTTGGCTGTGGTTTGCCATCCCCTCTGCTAGAGGCCCACAGAGTTGAAACCACGTTGGTGTTTCAAAGGGCATGTGAAAATCGCAAAGGGATATTTTGCAAATGATAGTACATACTCATATTTAATTTTAAACCTGTGATCAGATTAGAGTGTTTTAAAGCAGATTACTTTTTATAAGGCATGTGAGAGAGAAATTCAGGTAAGTGATTGTTACCAAATAATTTTTAAGTGGGTCACCTTACCCTCGAGTCCTTGGCACTTAAAGTAAAACATCTTGAATTAAGTTTATGATCTGAAGCACAGCTACCAAAAATATGGATGAAGATCCTAAAGTTTCTCAAAATAGAGGTCTTCAATATTTGTGGGAGAAATGATTTTTTAAAAAGAAACTACTGTGTTTTGCTAAGTATAATGCGTACTTTGTTGCCAAAATTTTTGAGGGGAAAAAAAAGGATATGCATTACACATGAAATGTATTATATCTTTTCTTGTGTTTTGTAATTATTCATTAAATAAAATTTCTTGTACCATAATATGTTCAAAATAAATGCTAAAATTCCTTTATAATATAAAATGCAAGTATCTAAATATAAATAAATAATTGAATTTAAAAAAATTAAAACAAAAGACTTTTTTCCTGAAAGTTTGGGCCAAAAACGTGGTGTACATTATACACAGCAAAATACAGCAATTCACAGACATGATGCCCAATTTGTTTACTAAAATAAAATAGCTGTGAACTAGAAAGCCTGGCTTTCCTTTTAGAAGTTAGAGACCATTCATTCCCATGGACAGAAACCAAGTGGGCACTTAGCTGATGATGGTTTAACTTGTGTCTGGTGTATGGCTGTGTTAAGCAAGTTTAGGATTTTAAAAGTGGGCTGACATGGGGACAAGTTTTCCAGGGAGAGATGAGCCTTGTGTATGTTAAACCTACAATGATCACCAGGGAGAGTCCCAGCTAATCTATGGAAGCAATTCCACTTATAATTAATAGCCAATCGAAGTTATCTTATTGATCAATATCAGTCTAAGAGACAAAATACCACTGCACCAAAGGGTAACAAAATATGGAAATGGAAGGTCCTACTTTCTTGCTAAGGTTCAACTAAAATCTTTGAGGCACATAATTGGCAAAATAGGAAAATACACACCACTTCATAAAATACGTTCAGAGTAAACAGATTCCCTTACTGCTTTCCCCCTTAGAAATTTAGAGTGGCACCAGGTAGTGCAAAGTGGAAAAAAGTACGAGCAGCCCTGTCTCTTTCAGGCAGACAGGTTTCAACAGAACCATGGAGCAGAAAAGCATCCTCTTCTCCCAGCCACGAACACTTAGGGCTTTTCTTTCAGTTTCAGGTCAATACTTGAAGGAAGAAAAGGAAGGGAAAAAAACGAGAAAATGAGTAAGAAACATTCAGTAATGACTGGGGGTGGTATATGTTTACTTTTTTTTCTCTCAAAGGACTTACTGAACATAAATCGTGCAAGTTTCTTATACTAGGAAATTTTGGTGAAACACAATCTTCCCCTACTTGGCAAGGCTTCCTCTAAAATACAGAATCTGTTTATTTTTACAAAACTGTTTCTGGAAGCATTTTACGCCTTTTAAAATGATCTAAGGAGGCAAAAGACTGTGTTAAGCCTTGTTCCTTAAGTAGATTACTATAAAGAATATTATTGCTTCTTGGAAATAAAGGATTTACCAATTTTTAGTGAACGACCTTTCCTTCTGGAGTGAAAAAATGATCTGCCTGAAGTAATGTCCAATTAGTGCTAAATAGTAAGAAAGTATGAACAATGAAACAATAGTGGCAAAACAAAGAAAGAATCAAACAAAAAACCCCAAATTTTCTATTACCAAAGGATTTTCCTGAAAGGATTTAGCCTACTTTAATGAGATGAATTATTTTTTTTTTAAGATTTTATTTATTTATCTTTAGAGAGGAAGGGAAGGAGAGAGGGAGAGAAATATCAATGTATGGTTGCTTCTCGTAGGTCTCCTGCTGGGAGCTGGCCTGCAACCCAGGCATGTGCCCTGACTGGGAATTGAACTATGATCCTCTGGTTCCCAGGCCCACTCTCAATCCACTGAGCTACACCAGCCAGGGTGAGATGAATTCTTATAACCTAAAAAGATCTTGTTTTCAAGAATGTCTAGTGAGTTCCCAATATCTAGGTAGTAAGTCTAAAATGTCCTTGGGCCACTTGCGTCCCTCTTTTGCCTTTTAGCGAACACATCACGACTTCCTGATATCTACCAGAGAAGAGAACTACATTCATTGAACACTCAGAGGAGGCAGCGTAGCCATGAAAAAAGAAAAACTGCATTTGTTGAAAAGGGCAATTGGGAAGTATCTGCAGATTTCCCTTGGATTTGCTTTCCAGAGGCAGAGTGCAAAGGTTACTTTCCTGATGGAACACGCAGTTGCTGAGCAGTGCTCATTGTTGTAGCTTTGCCAATAAAGCCATCAGTAGCCCACGCTGCTTGCTCGTCTGGTTTACAGTAGTAAAATGTCTTTCCTTGGAAACACCCTCAGCAAACCCATCCCTTATTAGCTCTGGGGCCTTGGCCCAGTTACCTACCTTCTCTAAGTTTCCATGTCTGTATCGGTAGAATAGAACAGTCATCTCTCTCATAGCTTGCTTAAGGATTAAGTGTAAAGTGTTTTCAATTGTATATAGAGAACATAGTAAATGTCCATTAGTAGTAGTAGTAGTACTAGTAGTAGAGAATAGTAGTGGTAGCTTGGTGTCTTTGAAACAGGAAAATCATCTGTTGGCTTAATTAATCATAATCTTGTGTCTTTTCAGACCTGGGTATGTTAACTGCCAGGAAAGGTCAGGTGATCATGGATATTGATCTCTTTTTTACGCCCTCAAGGACCTGACTTGTTTTCTTATCTAGAGAGTTTTACCACGTAGCTGACCTCTTTTTATCCATGACCCCTACATCTTTCTATGTCTTTTAAAAAACAGGGCCTCCATGTTTTTTAATCTAGATCTTGTTTTTGCTTCTAAGCTAATGCTTCCCAGCTGCAGTTACTCCCAGAAGCCTGTAGTGACTTGGATTTGATGACTGGAATTTTATTCTTTCTTACATAGTGATGGTTCCGTTCCTCTCACAGACCAAGAAAATATGTATTAAACCAAAATTCGGGGCACACACTGTCTGTAGAGTGTGGCTGTGGGTCAGAATATTTGACGTCATCTTGGAAAGTTTAAAGTGCACTTTGTTTCACCATCTAGACCCCAGATAAAAATCTAAAAAAGAAAAAAGCCCAAACACCACACTCTATGATGCCCCCTTTCAAACACCTAATTTTTCATACTGACTTTTTTGTAAACCTTCTAGGGTTTAATTTATCCCTTCAGCGTTGGATAAACAAAAAACTGAAACATTGAGACCAATTTCCCCAATTTATAAAAGAAGCAAGAGACAGTCAAAAGGGAATGATTTTTAAGTAAATACAGGAAACCACACTGAAGGGTAACCTTTGAGACAACCGTTTTCTTGTGGAGCTAATGAAGCAACCAACAACGCTACTGATTTAAGTGTCCCCAAACACAATCACATATGTTTTTTTTGTACGGAGAAACATAAAAAGTCATGTTGCAAGTTTTAGGACACGTCTGAATAAATTAAATCAAACCTAAAAGTGAGGGAGGAAAGTACCTAGGGCTACTTTGAGAAATGGTATGCTTTTTAGGAAAAAAAATGTCCTTTTAATCAGAACTGAAATATGAAAAGAGTATTCCTGACCTTTGGCGAGTCGGCTTGGTATAACCAAGTTTCCAGGGAGACTAGCAATCTTATGACAATTTTACTATAGGCTACTTTGGCTTCTAACATGTTTAGTGAGGTTCCTTACAACCTGTTTGATAATATTGTTTAATAATGAATAAAAACTCTGTGTTTTAGGTAGGAAGAGGGGGAAGATAGGCATAACCTTCCCTTCGCTCTCTGGGAAAATGAGAGGCCACTGCAGAATCAGGACACATTTTGTTTTATTTGTGGTCTCATCGAGCTTCTCAGAAGAGCCTTTGCCCATTCTGCAGTTTAACCATTTAATACAAGAAGGCGTAAAATGCTCCCACACAGGAACCAAAAGGAAAATAAAGCCCCTTATCCTAATACTCAAGAAAGGCTGATATCCAGGGCTGGAAATCAGTAGAAAAAATTCTTAGCCATTCTTGCCCCTCATCCCGGATCTCATCATCTGCACCGGGATCATGTGCTGGGTAAGGCTTGGGCAGGAAAGGGGTGAAAAAGGGGAAGTATGGAGGATATGTTCTAAGAAGTGGGAAGTAACTTCTCACTTCCATTTGCAGCAGCCATTCCACCCCCCATGTCCAGCCCTGGAACAAACCCCAACAAGAAGCAGTGCTAGGCTCTCTCCCCAACCCGAAGGGGCCTGTATACAAATGAGGAACAAAACAGACAAGGTAGACAAAGGAATGGGTAAGCCTGCAGATGTGGCAGCCATAGGCCACACAGCTCATTGACTGTGGGTGCAGGACTCTGCTCTAGGGGGCGCTGTTTTGCTGAGAAAGGAAAGATTTGCAAAAAGAATGATGGTGGACTAAGGGACCTAGGGAGTTTTGCTTTGCAGAATTTCTGTGTGATAATTTCCTTGAAGCAACTGGCTTCATCTGAAAGCGGTGGGACAAGTATAACCTTCGGAAAGAAAATTATCTGATTTCAAAGGTACTCTGACAGCCTTTGTTCTTTGTGCACTTTTGAGTTGGGACCTTTTCTCTGGAGTTTTTGTGCATAAACTTCTTTAAACTGTAAGGTCACCATGGCAACTGCAGAGATATTGCACTGTGATTTTCCAACTTCCCTGCTGACCTCGAAGGAAAGGAGGGCTACAGAGAACAAACTGTAACAATAGCTGACACATTTATATCCGATGTTTGCCCCTCCTTCTGGATTCCTGGAAAGAAGGGCAATGTGAAATTCTCCACGACTCAGACAAACCAGGTTAGGCGCTCTAACCAGGTGGCCAGGTTCTCTCTGCAAGCACCCTGGTAACCACAGTTTATTCCCTGACACTGACTTGGCCAATGGCGCACTCTTTTCTTGGGCGCCTAATTTTGTCCTCTCTAGCCTTTCATTAGACCAGAGGTTGCACATTCCCGCACTCAGAGCACCTCCCTCTGATTGCAGAACTGCTGTCACTGGGACTGCACTCCACACTCATACCCCAGCTCTGGGCCATTTTTACAACTGTGAAACGCTAGGCTGGTCAGACAATCTCTCTATGCTGCTCTTTCCTTACATATGAAATGTACCCCAAAGGGGTACATTCATCCTGAGAATAAAAATCAGTTAGTACGTGTGACGTCTTTACAGAGCCTGACGTAGGGTAAGAACTCAGTACGTGTTTGATTTCTGTCTCTCACAGGATGGGACTAGATGGACTAGATCTTTCCTCCAGCCCCATCCAGACTCAACTGCTTCTTGGAATTTTCAAAACAAAACATCCATTACGGATGTTTCTGTCCTATCCATCCATTACGTTCAAACGGAAGTCCCAACTTTCACTAATTAAAAGAGATGATGTTAATTCAGAAAGCAGACTTGCATTCCTCTTGCCCACATGTTCTGGTGTCTGGTTCTAAATTAATTTTCTGCTAATATTTGGATTGGAAGAATAGAATGCCAAGTGAAAACACAGTTGTCTGTGAGGAATTTAAGGGTGATCAGTGAGACAGTGTTAAGCTGGCACAGTTCATTGGAAGTTTCTAATTTCAGGAACAAAGAACATAAAAGCTGAACATCTGAACGAGGTTTACCCAATCCTCAATACAACTCTTTCTCTCAGAGCTGAGCCATACAATACTGCAGGAAACCACATAGCTGTTATGACGGTGAATTCTTACTCTTTCTCCATAGAAGTCAGTTCTGGATCATTGTAAAGGCAGCTAGTTCTGAGTGCATGGAAAAAAACAGGAAGCAGTGAACATCTTCTCCACTGTTACCACATTGTAAGCGCAATAGATTTGGGTATTTTCAACTGTGTAATGCCGTCCCGTTGCTAACACTGAACAAATCCACACCTGCGTTGATGTGAGATTAAGCTGTGATCCTTTTACCATCAGTTTGGAAATACAGTAATTGCCCATCACTGGGAAATGCAAAAAGAAGCTCTGCAGCACCAGCCACCTCCGGTGGCCCTTCTGACCTTGTCACATTGTCTCTGATGCTTTCCATCTATCTTATTCCAGAAACATCTTGCAAATGTTTACCTATAACTCAAATAGTGTAATATTTTATATACAAAGAACAATCCCTCTCAAGCAGCCTAATGTTATTTACTATAAATACAGTTAACTTTCACGAGAATGAGGATTTTCCAAGACACGACAAGGAAAAATGCCAGTGTCAGCTTTCCTGGTCACTGTTGCCACAGAAAAATAGTAGGACCCTGATTCCTGTGGAGCTGAGCTGGGTCCGGCAATACAAGTGAGTCCTAACCATAACCAGAACTGAATGTGTCCAGAAAAGAAAAATTTCAGACAAAAGCATGAAATAGAAGTTGTGTTGTGGTGTGTGAATGTGTTTATGCTTTTTTTGGTGTAATATCGGTTGCTTTTGATATTCCATGTTGGTGAGATTCCTTGTTAACAAACTTCAGATTTGCTCTCTTTTAATTTCTGATTAATACTTTCACTTTTCCTCCTCTGTTAAGTCTTTTATGGCTGGCAAACAAACACCAGTTAAAGGGATTCTGTGATCCTTTTTACATGTGAGAATTCCTTTTGTAATGTGGATTTTATAAGTTTACATATGTATTTGCATGAGCTATAGTTATTAACATTAGGTTTTGGGGTTTTTTTTTAAATGGCAGAAGACTGCCCCTCGCTGAGAAGGGCAGAGGGCTTTATCCCCGTCCCCCCGCCCTCGTCTCCGAGGGTCTGGTATTTTTATAGAGTATATTTAGCAATTCTAAATATACTGGACAAGGACAGTCAGGCTAGTGTTGACAGTGCGCTAAGAAAACCTAGCAAAGCTGAACTGGAATCAAGAAAGGGCTATCTTCCAAACCCAGATTTTCTGGTCTTTAACTCTGCACACCCCTTCCAGAGTCAACAGCCACTTGCCACCCACTGAACACTGTCACTCCAAAGGCAGCAGAGGGATTCTTCACCATTTTCAACATAATAATGGCTCCCTATATACAATTTAACCTGAAAAGCGTTTCCTTTTCTGTACAGATCTAACATTTTAAAGAAAAAAAATAAGGCAGACTGAGGAAATCACCTTCTGCAAGTCAATTAGAGGCGGCAGTGGTATGTGTGTAGGGGAGAGGGTGAATGTTTGAAAACATGGAATAAAGCGAAGCAACGGACAAGACGATAGGTAGGTTTTGTTCCCCCAAAGGGTATATGTTTGCCTTTGGTTAGAACCAGCCTGAAGCTTTCTAATAAAGGTCATGGGGAAGGTCAGGGTACATCTATACATCAATAACAAAGAACCTAGATTATCTGGCTTCTACAATCTAACCTTGTATCTACAGTGATCGTATTTTCTGAACCCCAAATCATCAGATATAGTCTGTCTGAGGATTGGGGGGCTGCTTTAGAAGCTGAAAGAAGATGTAGTTAGTGTGCCCAAATGGTAGGACGCAGAGGCATTTCAATAATCAGTGTGGTCAGCAGAGTAAAATTCTTTCTCCTTACACATTTCCAAGTGTGCACATATGTTCAATTCCTCATACAGGTAATGTCACCATCAAAAGGAGAAGGGTCAATTGGAGGAGAATTTGGACAGGTGGCTTAGTGACTAAAGCTGGAGTCAGAGCATAGACCTCCCTAAGACAAATCTAATTATTTTTATTCAGCCAGCTATTTTAAGGAGGCAGCTCTCACAGCGTGGTCCTGAGGCCAGCAGTACCAGCATCACCCAGAGCTTGTTAGGAATACAGCTGCTCAGACCTGCTAGATCAGAAGCCTTGCAGGCGAGGCTCAGGACATGGTGTGTGACCAGTGCTCCAGGTTACTCTGATGCACAGTGAAGTTTGAGAACGACTGGTCTACAGCAACGATCTTAATCTTGTGCACGTTCTTCCATTTATGTAGCAGAAATTTCCTGAGCATCTGCCCTGTACTGGGCACAAGCCTGGTGCTTCTTTTAGGACCGAGATCAAGACTTTTCAGTGCCACCCAAGACCATTTAGAACCTGGGGGGTGGTGTGGGGGTAGGGGGAAGAACAAAATGAAGGGTTTGAGAGAAAGAAAGAGAAAGCTATACAATGAAACCAAATATGATAGCTGTTCTCTATGGTAGCTATGCAGGAAGAGTGAAAGTACTGAAGGGAAGAAGGTCTATTGAAGGAGGCAAGGCTGCATGGTGCTAATGAATACACACGGCAATGTGACTTTCTAATGGGTTTGGCTGGAAAATTATTGATGTCACCTCTCCCCACTTTTGTCTTGAAAACAACTTTTTAATGTCCTAAATGTGTTATTTCTAAGAAGAAAGAATCTTAAAAGAGATTGTTGTTTCTCTCTCTGGGAAATCTCCTGACATAATGCAATTTGAATACTGATGAGTCTCTGAAGGGTTACATGACACCAGCATTTGGTTCCTTGATTCCGCTTGTCTTCCCCCTGCAGCTTCTTGTTTTTAACAGTTGAGTTAGAGGTAAGAAGATTTTGTTAGTGTATAAATTTATATCATTTTGGGTATTGCTAGTCTAAGGGGGTGTCAGTTATCTTAAAAGAAAACTACAAGACAGGAATATTGTGATAGTAAACCAACCTAATGGTAAATTTTCCAAAGCAAAAACTTTTCCTTGAATTTTTAACCCCAAAGATCCACACTATAGGCAAATAATTCTACAGGTTACCTTCAAGAAAAATGGGCCATAGGGGGAAAAACTCTAAATGGACTGTTTTCATGAGGAGTTGCCATTTCACCTTTGCAGAAAAACTTCACTAATGAAGACCTTATTTTCTTCAGAATTTTTAGCTGTTTGCACACTGTCCAGACTTTTTGCTTTTCTGATATCTATTAAAATGGGAACTGGTCATAAAAATTAACAGTGTAAGCAACATTGAAATGGAGAAAAAGCTCAATTCAGCAAACATTCTGAATAGTACTTGTCTCCATGTAGTATATAGTGTCAGAAAAGTTATTTGTAACTTGGAAATTAAAAAAAGGAAATCACTGGATGTTCTTTCAAAGCAGTGCTGAGTCAACTCTCAGCTGGTGGGCTGCTTTACAACTCTGTGGGGCCAGAGGTTAACTTTAGGTTTCTGCTGAGCAGAAGTGCAATAATTTTTGCCCAGCACATAAGGATAACCTAAGGTGGTTTATTCCCCTGTTGAACATTAATCAGTTTTGTATCTAAACCAATGATCTTAGCCTAACATTCCTCTATAAATGGCCCATTGACATCTAGCTTCACAAATGCTCTTTGAACTAGTTTTAATTACTTATTGCTTCCTTCATTAGGTAAACAGTTGAATAAAACCACTGGCATGAATTCATTTTATATTTGCACTAAAGTTGTGATTTTGCCTTTTTGAAAATTATATTTTAACCCTAGTGAGCAATGATTGTTTTCCTCTTTATCCAAATAGCTCAAAAGCTGTTAGTTAAGCAATATTTCCAAAGTCACTAAATAAGATGTTTAAGAAAAATTGGTCCAACGAAAATACTCCAAATTTCCACTTGCGATCATTTGTCTCCACTAGTGGGGTTTTGATGCTTCAACATAACAACCAGATGATTGTTATACAATCCGTGTTATATACATATGCTGTGTGTGTGCCTGTGATGCATTCTTTTACTGTGGTGTGTAAAACTGTATGTACATTAAAAAAAAATTAAACAACACTAACAAAAGCATTCTTCAAGATAACGAAGATCATGGTGGAAATAGACATAGTACAAATAACTGAAATTGCATCTATCCTGGGGCAAAGGGAACTTTTAAAGTACAGCGTTATTATCAGGATGCAAAAGTACCACACCAGGCATGCAGGCTCTCCCAACTCATGCCTGAAATGCAAGCCAACATCACACCAGCTGCAGAATGAAAAACAAGTCTTACTTAGCTGCTTCTGATGCTTCCCTCAGTTCTTCATCCAGTCTGCATGAGCAAAAATTATCAGCGTAGAGAATAAAACAAAAAAAAGCAAGCAGAGCGTGAGACCATCACCCAGCAAAGCAGAGCCAAACATAAGTGGAATGTATGTGTTTTTTAAACCTGTCTCTGGAGCACCAAGGGGCACTCCTTCAATTAAATATGGCGTTATTTCCTCCCATCCAGTGTTTATGTGTGTTTACTTTGCCAATTCCTTCATAAAGGTGAATATAAAAGTTGCAAGGAGATAAAAAACATGCTGGCTGAATAAAGCTGAACACATCCACATCAGTCTGTTGAATACAGTGAAAGTTAGCTTGCAGCCTGGGCCATGTCGGGGATGTATCTGGTTTAGTAGGTTTGGGTTGCAACATAGGTTGACCTCAACAGCTTAACACACAAGACAAAGACAGGAATGGTAGACGCAAGTGACTGATACAATGACCTCTTGCTCTGGAAGCATGTTGAGGTCACCCACGAGTAAGACACTGGTGCACACACACAGAGGGTCCAGCGTGAACTGCAGATCAGGAGATTTTACCTCACACTTCTCTTATAAGATCTCTCTTCATCGTACCTTACGAGATAAAAAATGGATGCAGTGAGAGAAATGAGCCAACAGATGAAAAACATGACAGGTAAATGATTTAAAGAATAGTCAGAACATGAGAGACAAAGCCTACCCGGATAATGACCCAATTGACTTTTGGGAGAAACCTGATTTATATTAGATATAATCAATGATTTAGAATTTCTAATTACAGGAAGCCAATCCTCATTATTTGCAGATTCTGTTTGCAAATTCCCTGCTTGCTACACTTTATTTGTAACCCCCAAATCAATACCTGTGGTATGTTCACGATCACTTGAAGATATTCACAGAGTGGCAAAAAATTTTGAGTCACCTGACATACACTTTCCCAGCTCATGTGGAACAAGGTGAGGCTCTGCCTTCTAGTTTTAACTCTCATGCTATAAACAAGTGTCATTTGTGTGGTCTATTAAGTGGCACATTTTATGGCTTTTTAAAAATTTTAGTTGGTATTTTCCCATTTAAAATGGTTTCCCAAAAATGATAACATGCTGTATAGTGATCCTAAGCACAAGAAGGATGTGGTGTTCTGTGTGGAGAATATGTTTGTTAGATATTCCTTTGTTAGGCACAATTTATGGTGTTGTTGGCCATGAGATCAATAATAATGAACCAACAATTTATATCAAAAAATTATTTTTAAACACAAACACATTAAGCAACGTTATACGTTAACTGGTTGACAAAATGTGTGACCAGAGGCTCGAAGGAACCTCACCTTGTATTTCCTTTAGGAACAGCAGTTTACTATTTGTTATTTGGTATTCTAGAACATCACTGCAGCAAATAACAAGAATTGACTATAATCACTGACTATAAATCTGATCCCAGACTGGGCAACTTTTTCTCCATCCCAGCAGAATACGGGTGTTGGGGTTGGGTGATATCAGATCCTCTGCATGTTACGCAGTAATAGGAAGGAGCTGTGGCTTGTACCCATTTGAAAATGGCATATCATGAAAATGAGGGCCAGTAACAAAAATGGCAGAAAGGATGACCAGAGATGGGTTACAGAAGACAGGAGATAACATGGATACATGAGGAGGGCATGCAAGGTTATACATTTCTTCCTCCAGAAGAAAATCTTTCCAAAGAGAACCCTTCCTCCTGAAGTAAATTTTAATGGGGCCCTTCAAAACTGAAGTGTGTACATGAGTATAAAGTGCCCTGAGTATGTTAAACTTTTGCATTCAACTTTCCCACATGATAGTGAGCCTCTACAAGCAACATAATTATAATAAATAATATTCTGAACTGCCAACTTGGTGCCAGGTGTCTTTCTGAATGCATTTCGTACTTTGTTTTCATTCAGTCCTCAGGACCATTCCATGAACTGTGCCTTCCTTCTGCAGTATACTGAGGCTGAAGCTAAGACTTGGAGTTTTAGTTAGTTGCCTGAAGTTTCCGAGATACTGAGAGGCAGTCAGGAAGTTTCATATCTGATGCTAAGCTTCCAAAGCCCATTCTCTTCTCTTCCAACAGCCACACCATGGAAATATTACCATATTTACCTAGAGCAGTGATTTTCAACCTTATTCATATCATGGCACACACAAGCTAATTACCAAAATTCTGTAGCACACCAATAAATATATTTTTTGCTGATCTAACAACAAATAGGTATACTTTTGATTCATTCACACAAGACAGCTATTGTTGTGTTGACTGTTGTCATTTTTTTTTATTTGACAGTCTAAGGGAAAAGAGGTCAGTGCCCCTAATTAAGTAGGTGTTGCATGTTTTAAAAATTCCTGTGGCACACCCGTCGAAAATCGCTGATCTAAAGTGTGGACAATGCTCATTCCCACTTGTAAAGAGAATGTCTTTGTCATCTTTGGCAAATGGAGACAGTATTACAGGAAGTGGGTGCTCTAGGACATTTTTTATTCAAAGAGTAGGAGTAGATTTTTGAGATGGGGTGCACCTTTTTGAAGCAGCAGACTAGAGCTTTGAGGTGTGCTGGTTGTGAGAACCCTGAGAAGCTGAAGAGGATTAAAGCCATTGCCATGATCTAATGAACACTCAGCCTGACTCAGCTGAGCCGATTGGCCACTGTAAGCTCAATCAGTGTCCTGGGTTGATGTCTAATAGCGGGAAGCGGGAAAATCAAATGCACCTACTCCTGAGCTTTGACTTTACTTGGCAAAGGGAACTAGTAGAAAGGGCATGGGAATCTGGGTGTCAGCCTGATCAGATCGAATTCTAGTTCCATCTTTTCTTGTTCCTACTTATACTTTGTATAACCAGTTTCTCTGTTCTAAGTTACCTTCCTATTCCTGTAAATGATATAAAGAGAATATCGGCATGCCCCACATAGCATAAATAAACACTAAATGAGAACTCTTTCTCTTTCCAGTTTCTGCACTTTAATTTGATTTTATTTTTTAAGTGAGAACTCTTTTTTTTTCTAGGGGTGCCCAGACTGGAAGGCCCACTTTCTTATCCATCTTCTGGAGGAAGATGGGGTATCCTTGTCTGTTTTCTTTGAGCTGATGGTAACCTTCCTATCTATTCTATTCAAGTAAAAAACCAGTGAATCGGGTACAGTGAAAGGAAAATATGACCCACAGAAAGCGATGGCTCCTTGCAACATGAAACAAATGGGAGACTTCACTCTCCTGTGTCCCATTTTTAACTTGCAGCTCCAACTGGTTGTTTAGCTAATTTATACTCTTACTTTGTAGGATAATCCTGCAATCTTTGGCATCAATGCCATAAGGAAATGTTCCTAACTGTGCCACTTACCACTGAGCTTTATTTTTCACCTGAAGGGAAGGGTGAAGAAAAAGAATTCAGAAGAAAGCAGAGAGGGTCCTAGGGCATTTTTTTTCTCTTTTCCTAGGGTCATGCAAACAAATAACTTTATACAAGGTGATGAAGAAACCCAAGCTATGCTCACACCCTGATGTGTCTGTGGAGTGGAACACACGGCAATGGACGGGCTGATTTATGTTGGATTTATGCTTTCTTCAAAATGGCAGTAAAATGCAAAGTGAAAATGAGCAATAATCAATCATTCTAGAAGAAAATTAAGTGAAAGAGGGTCTAAAAGTACAGAATAGTGACCTTGGGTTCTAAGAAAAATATATACAAGTTTGAAGAATATTTAATATTTATCGTAAACATGACATAATGACATTCCCCCATTATTTGAGGAATGAATTGTGTTCCAATCTCCTTTCCAAAACATGCAATATTTCTTACCAAATCTTGGACAGCATCAGGACTTACTTGATGATGCTCTCTGGAATCTGGATGCAGTCCATTGGGATCAGTCCACTGAGCTCTGATAAGCTGCTGACATATTTAATTTTACTGCTGAATTTTGAACTAAAAAAAAGAAGAAGAAAAATACATGAGTAGTTGCTCCTTCATCCCTCTCAGGGCCACTGCCTCTTCTTGAAAATCCTGATTATATTGTGTTTAACACCTTGCCCCAGTACTTACACCAAGAAGAATGGCTACATTATTTGAGTAGTTACTATGTGCAAGAGACCATTTTAAGTGGTTTATATATATTAACTCATTTATTTCTTAGTATAGTCTAGTGTGGTAGATACTGCTATTATTCTCTTTTTAAAAATAAGGAAACCGAGACACAGGGAACTTAGTACTTACCATCAGTAAGTGGCAAAGCCTGACTTTAGACCTGTGTGGTTTGACTGCAGAGTCCGCACTCTCGGCCACACAGCACGTGACCTCCCATGGTTCCCGCCTCTCTGCACTGCCACTGGGTTCTGGTGTGTTTGCTCTTGTTTGCTCGTTTGTTTTCAACAAATGAAAATCTCGTCATTAGTTCTTTCAGAATCTACCAATGTTGATATATTTTAAAGGTATATATAAACTCATTTTCCTCTTTTTCTTTTTTTAGTTTTAGTTTTATTTTAATATTTGAAAAACTTTTTTGGTAAAATTTTAGTCTCAGAATTCATTCCAGATGAACCAAAGTTCAAAAACTGTTCTGATGATTGGATGCTTTGGATTACAAACCACTTCCATCTAAATGTTATTATTTTCGATGTGTTAAATGCATAGAAAATAATTTGGAAGGAGACCACTGAAAATGATAAAGAAATGTGCCTCAGTGGTTGAGCACGGGTCTGCAAACCAAAAGATCACCGGTTCAATTCCCAGCCAGGGCGTATGCTAGGGGTGCAGGCCAAGTCCCTCTCTTCCTCCCTCCCTCCCCCTTTCTCTAAAAAATAATAAATAAAGTCTTTTTAAAAATGTAACTCTGAGGAAGAGAGTTAGAAACAGAAATTGGTAGCTGTGGAAGGAAGAACTTAGTAAGGACACATTTCTCTATTACTGGTATAATTGCAAATATTTAAAAAATGAATTATTCCACTTGCAAGGGAACTTGATCAAGCATTGAACTTTCTCAGATGGTTTCAAATGAAGAGGTTCCCCTGTCTACTGGGATCATGCTGAGCTATCTGCCAAATGTACTTCCTTTTGTTTGACCACTGTGCATTCTGGCAGGAAGCTTTTCAAGGTCAAGTCTCTATACATCTATCATCCAATTTTACTTGCAGTTTTAACCCCACAACACTGGCTATGTCTTGTAAGCAGCCTTCCTCTCTATACGGTCACTTCTAGCCCTCCTGATGAGTCTTGGGTAAACACATACTACCAACAACCTATAAAACAGGCTTGCATTATAGTGGCCTCTTCTTTGGCATGTAAAAGTTGGTGTAACTTGATTCAGAAGGGGCATATTTAAAGAGGGTCTTACATGATGAAACTGTAGATACAATGTTGAAGTACTTAAAGTGTGTGACCTTTAGAATTAGGCAGCCAATTAGATTTGAAGCCAGAGTCTCACTTATGGGCTATGTTACCTTAGACCTGGGTGCTGGGCAAACTAAAACCCACAGGCTGAAGCCAACAAGCCAACTTATTAACTATTTTTTACAGTTCTTGACCTAAGAATCATTTTTATGTTTTTTAAATGCTTGAAAAGTATCAAAACAAGAATATTTTGTGATATAAGCATTTTTTAAAAAATTTAACTTCTGTATTCATAAATCAAGTTTATTGGAACACAGCCATACCTACTGCTTACATATTGTCTGTGGCTGCTTCTGCCTACAATGGCAGATTGGGTACTTGGGAGGGAGACAGCATGGCCCGCTAAAATATTTACTGTTGGACCCTTGTAGAGTGGGTTTGCTGGCTCCTGCTTCAGACAATTTATTGGACCTCACTGAACCTCAGAGTTTTCCCTTGTGTAACAAAAATAGTAAATAGCACTTCCTTCAGAAGTCCATCATTAGGATTAAATGAAATAATGCATGTAAGCACTCAATAACTGTAAGCCATTATTAGATGTAATTTATCACATTATTTGCTATTTTATAATTATTATTGTTGTAATTATGATTATATTGAAACTCCCTTCAATAAATACTGTTGAATTATAATCGTTTTCCATGTTTTTACAGTAACAAATATTTTGTTATTTAACAAGAAGAAATATGTTTTATAAATATAAAAATTGAATTATTTTAAAAAGTCAATAAATAAGTATCAATTCTAATCTTTACTTTTTTATACATTAAACTTTTTACAAGCTTTATCAGTGTACATGGATTCCTACTCCTTGTCAAAGTGTTTTCTGCTATCATTAAAATAAATGGCTTTTGTGTACCTTAAATAGTTCGTGTTATTTTTAAAGCCATCCGACATGGTGTGGTAAAGAGCTGATCTTGCCGAAGGAAGATTAAATTGAATCATGCTACTCACTCGTTGGAAGTGTAAAATGGGAACGTTAAATAACTGCAAGTGAACACTGAGAAAAAAAGGCAGACTCTGGGAGGCACAGTAAAATCTCTGTAAAAAAAGGCAGGGGCTGGATTTTAACCTCTAATTTTTTTTCTCCAGAAGTGAAGTTATCAGAGTTTTTCTTAGGGATTCATTAATACCCCTGAGGTAGAAAATATCCATTTTATGTAATCTGTATCCCAATGTTAGGCAAGATTTTATTTTATTATATTTTTAAAGTTCTCTAGAAAATACACACTGTCCCTTTCATTTAACTGCTCCAAGTCTTTCTATATTATGGCTATTTTTTTCTTCTTTGCATTTCCCAAATGTGAGGCTATGCAGCATCTTGCACGACAAAACGGTGAATAAATATTTACCGAAGTGAACTCAGTTGACACCAAGAACCCTAATGCGGGATCAAAAGAAGCTGCCGGCAGGGCTGCCCACACTTTCTACCTAACTGTGGTGACTGCATGATATTCGTTCAACAAAAATAGAACAATGAAGATAAGACATGGCTTCTGCTTCTGTCCTTTGGTTGTCTTTATTTTCTATTGTCATGTTACTCTACCTTTTCTATTCTCTGCAAAATACCATGCCTCACTTTAAAAGTATTGTCTATTCCTTTTTGTGATGTGGCATGGAAACCCCCACTTCATCTTCTGTGTTCACAGCAACCACAATAGAGATCATGTTTTATAATAATTGGGGGGAAAGTAGTCATTATGAAATAATATCCACTCTTAATTAGGGACTCTTGCTGGATAGGCCAAAGGATCTTTCCAGAAAAGGCAGAGGCAAATATGTCAAGTACCCCCTTAGTTTATGAATCCTTGTTTACAGATCAATTAATAGTTTTTAAAAATCTGCTAGTAATGCTTTTACTTTTATATAATAATAATCATACCTTATAAAAGGTCGTGTCACCGCAAGAATTGTTCTGATGAACCAAGATGGGTGAACAATGATGAATGATTTCAAGTTCTTCCGCAACCTATTTTGAAAAGAATATTACTCATAACCCCATTTTTAGAAGGAATTCAAACTGAAGGCATGTGCTCTAATAAGAATACATAGAAAGAATTCTAGGCAAGTTATTATTATTAGCAGGGAAAGTATAGAATAGTTATAATCAATAAAAATACTTTTTGATATATAATTTGAAACTTTTATGATTCAAGGCTTACTTTCTCAAAATAAAAGTGAAATAGAATGGTTGTATTCTTGGAGGGGATAAATCTAGAGCCATCATGACATGTTTTTGTTTAACAATGCTTTTCATTGTTCTCAGCATTATCTTTACTATTTTAAAAAGAATTTACTCTTACTAGCCTAGTAACATACACAATTATTCTACCTCTGAGCCTTCACATCTTCTTACACATAGTGAAAGTAAAAATGGTATCTCATGTGGTTGTTTGGCCTTCAGGCTACAATTTTAATGCTTGTGATTGTCAGGCACATTTTTAACATTAATAATGCTACTTTATGAATGTTTAGGTCATTAGGTGAATTTTAGTTACAATAGCAGGGTACTCATGTATTGTTATGTAAGGAGACATTATAAACTTGTGTGTTTATGATATTTTCCCTGTACATGCCAATAATGTGTGTTTGGTTTTATTAAAAGCAGTATGAATGAAAGTAAAGTACATTGAAGAAGGGGCACCCAAAGGCACCATAGGGGCTAGTGGTTAATGTGAATTTACAGTGAATGCTGAAATAAGAGCACAACATTTTCCAAAATCACAGTGGTCCCAGTGGACATGAATACATCAAGATCGTATGACCCCTGAAAAGAGCCATGGATACTGGTGTCCCAGTTCACATTGCACCTCCATGTGGCAATAACATATGCAGAGTCACGACAGACATGGTCAGCAGGTCTGAGGTCACAATATAATAAAATCTGGGGAGGATTTGCTTTCTCCAGATTTGGGCCACCAAGTGACACTTTCATCTGTTATCATTTATTATCTCAACTCTGTGCAACTCAACGTTCATGAAATGTAACTGCATTTTTGGTAGAATGACAGAGAGTTTGAAATGGGAATTACTGAGAAAGCAAAAATAGGGATTAAATAAAGGAGCCCACCTACCGTCTGTCAATCATCTGGTAGCATTTCTTCATCCAGCCCAGCCCTGGCATCTTCCGCCTTGGGGTAGCGCCATTCAAGTACACAATCATATAATCTTCAGCTACCATCAGCTCTAAAGTGCTTATTACATATCTGATCACAGGAAAGGAGAGGTATGTTTTCAGCTCCCACATGAAACACTTCATCTTATCTGCACCATAATTATATAGCATTTAAATGACAGGGTGCATGATATTTAAGAATGCTTGTGCATATTACCTCTTCACCTTGAGAAGAATCAGTTACCCGAGATCATTTCTGTGAGAGTGAGTATTGTTCATTTATAAGTACAAGTATCTTTTTTTTTTTAATGCAGGCACATTAAAAACAATGTGTGGGTAAGAAACCTGACTTTGGAAAATGCCAACAATGTTATCATATGCTAAGGGCAACACAGATTAAATAAGGGCAGATATAAACAAAGTCAGGTTATCATCATTGACAACCGACCGAGAACATGTTATCAGGGAACAAATAGAACACTTCCCCCAGAGGAAACGTTACAGAATTTTCAAACGCGGGCTACACTGTGTGTGTTTTGTTCTCAATTCATTCCATTGGCAAGAATGACTCTAAAGGCTTTAGTCTCTCGAGCAGTGTTCCTTGAGAGAGATTTCATTGTCTTTTTACCAAAGGCTTAGAATATTCTACATCATTTACGTCCTTTTACTAAAGATGCTTATCGGCCACACATGCCCACAGACATTAACTCAAAGCACTTTGTCGTAAGTATCACTCACAGGAAAAGATTTTCCATGACATAGTGGTAATCCGCCCGACTGCTGTCTGGCAGAAAACAGGCGGCAAACACAATGATGGCGTTTAGGCCGTCCCCATAGTATCCTGGGGGACAAACAAAAGAACACTTGTAACCAACTGAAACCTTTCACAAGATAATATTTAACCGACACAATTAATCTGGAGGCCTTGGCAAGTGTTTGGATGTAGATATAATAGACCTATCTCTAAGTGAGTATTATATAGACTATACTGTTATAAGTATATACACATACAATTATCTTTCAGTGGTAAACACGTTATATAGAGTTTTAAATATAGTGTGAATATCTTTACATATATAGGGTATCCATATGTTATGAACAATTATATGTGTTGTACATAGTCATGAATAGATATAAAAATATTCAAGTTATCGAAGGGTGGACATGACAGTTTCTCATTTATGGGTTTCTGCTTTATATGTTTTAAAAAGGTAATTTGTATCATGCTTTTTGCCATTAATGGCTAAGCAAGGTTCTGAGTAATCATTTTTAGCTCTTTTCACTTTTAGTATGAAGGGGAAACTGAACTGCAACATAATCTCAGACAAACACTTCAGTGACCAGATGCCAGTGAGTAGACACGTAAAACACCTTGGTTTTGATTAAGGGGACAGGTACACTCGCCTGGAGCATCCCCACAATCTCCAGATTCAACAGACAGTGTGGAAGCAGGATAAGCTCCTTGCCTAAAGAATAACTGAGCACAGAATTCAGAGCCTAGTCTCTTAAAGAAGAGGGCGCACTGAAGAAGGGGCAGCCTGGGTGAAGCCCGACTCTCTCCGAGTTTTATGAAAATAAAAGCTTTCGGGAAAACTTGAGAATTACTTCCTGGTAACACCAGTGGGGCAGGGGGTGGGAAGGTTATTTGTGGACGGGGTGAAAAAATAGGCAGTGGGGGATGCAGACAAGTGCGGTCACTGTAACTCCAAGGGTCAGGGAGAATGGAGCGATGTCTCAGGACATTTTGCCCACTCCTGAAAGCCCTGCTCCGTCCAGACTCTGTGTTCCTTAAAGCCCGTCTTTGAAATCCATGGCGGTGGATTGATGGATCCCTGCAGGTGTGGGTGTGGAACCTCATGTGCCCTTCCAGGCTTAAAATGGAAGCAGGGTGCTGTGTTTTCATATGTCTTATATCTCCTTTTAAACACTTGCAATTTTTGTCAGCCAACATAGCTTTGGACTTCAGAATCCTTACAGGAGAGCTCCCCTCAAAGCGCTCAGTAGGAGGACAGGACACGCCCTCACGCCCCACCCAACCCTCTCAGAACCCAGTGTGCTTCAGTCTCTGTGCTCTCAGCAGCCCTCTGCTTGCACGGCAGCAAAGTACCGGCTGGGTATGGATTTGGATGGGCTTAACTCTTGAAAAGCAGTTTAATAAGATGTTCTCAACAAAGAAAGTGTATGATTCTACCACAAAAGAGGTGGGGGAAGAAAGTGGTACCACCTAAAAATATACCAAATTATGGGTTCGCGTGCATTACTAATTTGCGGTTGTTGTACGCAACATTTACAGAAGAGCTACCTATGTGCGTGTACATCGATGAAACACATGTTTGTGAGACGGACTGCAGGAGCTCCCCTCTGGGCTTTCTGCCTTAGTCCCAGCGTTTCCAATAATGTTGATATTTGTGAACTTCTTTTTAGAATGTGATATGAAGAAAAATGATAGAAAGAAGATATATTTGAACACAAAAAGTATTTGTTCCTGTAAACAATTTCCTTTAAGAAGCTTTATACCTAACTGGAAATCCATAAAGCATAAGGTGACTTAGCTGCACTGACCCTCCACCACGAGGGCATACGGTGTGGACTGAGCACAATGAAAAATGCGGCTTCCTCAAAAAAGACAACAGACAACAGGAATCCCACTTAAAAACACGTCCAAAAGCATCTTTCTAAATGTAGCTGTCTGACTATCAGAATAACTTCAAGATCATGACTGCTCAGTTACTTTGACTTCTTTTTCTATTTCTGGAGAATTTCTAAGACATTTTTAAAAAACGAAAGCCTGAGGTTTTATCAACTATGTTTCAGATCTTGTCTCACGTGGCAGTTCAGCCCCGTGTCACTGCTTGTCCTTGGGATGCTGTGTCACGTTCGCTGGAGGTCATTCCACCAATCCTTAGGACCAACTTACCACCTTCTGACCATTGCCTGAGTCAGGAGTGCCTCTTTAGGTGAACATTTCTGAAGTTTACAAATGAAGGTGGCTTTTTGCACTTGGGGGCAGAGCAACAGTTGGAAGGGAAGAAAAGAGAGAAAACAGGAGGAGAGGAAGAGATGTAAGAAGAGAAATGGAAGGAAAAGGCTTCCTCATGAGACTTTTCCTTCTAAGACAAGAGCTGGCGCCATCCTTGTGAGGCTTTGGAGACAAAGGGCAACTGCCGACAGAGTGCAATAACCAGAACGAGAGGGACCACTGCCTCGGGTCGCTCACAGACATCTGCGAGGGGGTCGACTGACCCAATTTCTATTCTGAATATGCGGCTTACCCAAGTGACGTTGCCTATCAGCAACTTCATGAGGTGTTTGAAGTTTGGGTTTTAAAAACATGTATTTTAGTAGACTCAATTCTCAATAACCGTGAGGGGCATTCAGGGCGTGTGTGCTGAGGTGTGTGAGCAATCCCACCGTGGTGCCTCCTGAGACCCAGTGATGCAAACCTTACCTGAGGCAGAACAGAGAGGCATGAAAGGGACGTAACACAAGTTTGCTGGCCCGCAAATGGGATGGAGAGAGAAGGAAAGATGTCACAGTTGCCACCAAAACATACACACACACACACACCAGCCAGCAACTCTTCTCCTCATTCTTTCCAGGATCATTTGATCAGCAACTGCAGAGAAGGTTACCTGAATCTCCTATAATGAAATGAGAAGTAAAAACAGAAACAAAAACAAAAAACAAGAAACTCCTTGTTACAATGCTTTGGCGTGACTGCCCTTGTCATTTAAAATTGTTCTCTGTTTCAAGTTCAAAAAAAGCCAGTTCTGGCCTCACTGTTGGCTAATCCAAACCACCCAGACCTCCCTTTGCTTTTTTATTGAAGCAGGAATGTTGTTCATGGGCTCCTAGGAGGGCACCCTCATCTGACTGATGAAGTAACTGAGGCCCAGAGAAGTGATGTACCAAGCTCATGGACCAGTTAGTGGCAATGATGGGTCTTGAACCCTGTTATATTTATTACATGTGTACAGGGCTTCCAGCAATAACAGAAAACTGAATTATTTGTTCAAATACCACTCTCACAGACTGATATTCCCAACTGTCATGGACACTCGGTAAGGCCTTGTTTTCCAGTTAATTTATGCAGCTCTTTTAATCACTCCACCCCCATCTCGCAGTTGCACGGAGCACAAACAGCTGGCACTTTTCCATTGGCATGAATGGGAAAACTTCCTTATGGTGAAATGCAAGACACCAAGACAAGATTTATGTTCTCTATGGAGTGCTGCTTTTTAAATGCTCATCAGAAGCCAGGATGACAAACTCCACAGACTGGTAAACATGGAGTATTGCTTTAGCATCAGTAAAGTCCAAGAACGTGATGTGAGCTCCCAGCACAGAAGACAGTGCTCTGGCAAATTCAGATGTAACATCTGAATGATCTTTACCCAGAGAGCACAAGAGCCATTGAGGGTGTAGGGAGAGGTGGCATCTCGCTAGCGTGCCGGGTGTGTGCAGCCAGGGCACGCTCATGCAGGCCAGCGCCTAGAGAGAGACGAGGTGGAGCTGGGGAGAGGAAAGGTGGCCTTGCCTTCCAAACAAACTGGACAGTCAGTCACACAGCCAACAACCAAGCTCACAACACAGACGGAGAGGGGCCAATGCCAAGGGGAGGAGGTGGCAGGGGTGGAGGGCACAGCAAACCAGGTTAGCCTGGACAGGGCAGCTCAGTTATCACAAAGAAGGTGATAGGCAGAAGCAGGGGCTTTTTCTGACCCTAGTGTACTAACGGCAATCACTCTCTCTTACTTCAGGCAGCAGACCCACCCACTCAACCCACATAGCTGTCCCGTGCTGGAGGGAAGAACAAGCGGGTGGGTGTGCTGGAGGAGTGGGAGGAGTTAGGAGAGCAGCGAGGCAGTGAGCCTGTCTTCTTCACAACTAAAGGGGTCCGAATTGAAGACCGAGGGGTAGAAATTTATAGAAATTATCATTGTTCTATGTTTTTCCTGGTACTTTCTAGGATGAGCTCAGGGTACTTTTATAGTCAGCCTTTGATTTGCTTTTATTTCCAAAAAGCAAACAAGTCATGCCTCCTTTGCATATGGTGGGCGGTGCAAAGGAGGCTGGACCTTCTGGGAACAACTGGGTGATGTTCAGGTTGTGGTTTTCGTCACAGAAAAAGGGTTATGACTCTATGACCAGATGTCTGTCAGCTTCAGTGAGATCAAGCTAGAAGTTTCCCTCAGAGGAAACCGCCCAGCCCCACAGGAGCCGTCACGGGGATGCATTACCATTTCAGGTCACACAGTGAAGCGGGAAAAAGAAAGTTCATGGCCGAGAACGCCTATTGGCATTTTCTTTCACTGTCATTCATGGTCAGAGTCCCTGGGTGGTCAGATACTTAACTGCAGGTAGCAAGGGATAGGGGGGTGGAAAGTGGATAATTTGCTGGTGGAGGGAACTTTGATTGCAAAAACAAAATGTCCTTTCGCTAGTTAAAAAACAGAAGCTATGAGTTTAATGTCATTCCAAGACACTTACTTCCCTGCCCTTGTTGAGGAAGAGAGAACAGTGTTTGCCTGGTCAGCTTACACTTCTCTGGGGCAGCGGGGCGGTCAGGGCGGTGCCTCAGGACTGCGGGAGAGGGGTGCATGCAGCGGAAGAATGAGAAAGCTGTTCATGTTTTCTGAAGTGGACGATGTTAAATGTGTCGCTTGTGCTCATCGACTTTTTGTGAATCCCAAATTAGTCGGGGCTCTGCAGCTCCAAGAAAGCACCGGAGATACAAAACCCAGCCCCTTCTCTCTCCCTTGTCTGTTGCAAAGGCTTTGGCTGCAACTGGCTGCTGTCGGGCGTAGGTGTGATGGAGTTTACAGAAAAGCCAGTTTCAGGTAGGGGGAAAGCGTGACAAGGCTGAGTCTAAAAAGATTCCCAACAGCTTCTGAAGAGGATTTAAATGACGATTTTGTAATTAGAAGCAGTTCTACTATAGTGACCTTAACTACAGGTCGTGGTGGTATGAAAACTGCTCAGTTAAAACCTACAATCAACCCAGATGAATTCCCAACAGACACTATTAAATTGGACAACTATGGCTTTCGAGAAATTAACATAGAAGATTTATAGCTATCAGCTGTGTGCTATGAAAAGCATTTTTCACACTGGAAAGTTATCTTTGTTTGGTAGGTTTTCCCATGTTTGTGGAGTTGAGAAGTAATAGATTTAGCTCTATAGTCCCCCGAACGTTGGTTGTCCAGTGGGGTCTCTGGGATGTCATGCTGCAGAGAATCCCAGTTTTGTTTTCTGACAAAAAACATGGCAGCCTGTCACCCAGTTCCCAGATTCACACAGCGCTGGACTACCTCCGTGAGAAATGACTCTCCTGTAGGGCTCGATGACCTTCATGTCAATCCTCTGCTCCTGTTCTCCAATCACCACCGTCCTCCACAACCGGTTGTCTTCCCGCTCCTCCTCCGCTGTGTATTCCGGAATGGACTCAGACTCTCGGCCAGAATCTTTGTTGGCTGTGGGACCCTCTGGAAATGAAGCACAGAGCCAGGCTGAAGGAGCAAGAGCCGTGCAGCTGAGCAGCTAAGCAACCAGCTGCCTCCTGGCAGAGGCAACCAGAGGGACGGAACTCGCCGTTTTGTGTGACTCAGTGAGCTTAACCTGACCACATAGAGGACCCTCAGTGAGGCTTTATTACTGACTTATTGAACAACCAAATCCATTGCTCAGGCCAAGCTGAGCATGGGTGCAGATGTAAGGCTGGAGCTGTCCTGTGTCAATAGTGGTCCAAGAGGGTATAGGCTAATACCAGTGTACCTTGATCATATAGGTTGAAGACCACAGGCTTCTCTGATGGGGTAAAGGCTATTTATCAGGTCCAGATAACCTTGTTCTCTTCGGACCACATTTTCTGGTGCAGCCTGAGTGCACAGTCTTAGTATCTTGATGATTCCGCTGGCCTGGGCCCTGCTCTAAGGCTCTTACATTGGAGCTGAACCTGCTTCCCTACTGGGAGCACATCAGGTCATACGTTGTATGTGCATCCTATGGATTTGTCCAAATGTGCCAAGCAAGACTTTACAGCAAGCAAGAAAATAACTTCTTAGGCCGGGAATGTTCCAAGGCCAAAAATTCTCAAGGCTCCTATTTGCGGGTACAGAAGGCAATAAACAAGCCCACTGAGCGTGTTGGGGGAGAAATACACTACCTACTCTTGTGCATCCAGAAAAAGCAATCATGTTAAGTTTTTTAAGAAGAGAAAGGAGCAATTTTGTTTCTATTTTTACTGCAAGGACTAGCAGAGTTGAGCGATGATGGCTCTTTGTAGGTTTAAGTAATTTGAAGGAAAATATTATTTATAACTTTCAAAATAATTCCGTGAGATATTATCTATCTTATTTTTCCATTCAAAAAATGACCTTTGATTTACTTGTGTTTTTTAAATCCTCACCTGAGCATATGCTTATTAATTTTAGAGAGAAAGGAAGGAAGAAAGAAACATTGATGTGAGAGAGAAACATTGATTGGTTGCCTCCCGTACGTGCCCTGACCAGAGATCAAACCTGTAGCCCTTTGGCACATGGGACAGTGCTCCCACCCACCGAGCCACCCAGCCAGGGCCACTTGTATTCTTTTTATGGGACTTTGATAATAATAGCAACTATCATGTGTCAGTTACAGTAGTAGGTATTAAATGATACCAATGCAAAAACTCACTGAAGTGGTTACCTCAAGTCACAGCGTTACAAAGCAAGTATAGTTAAACCCTCACCTTTTCTTCTCTTCTAAACTATTACATTGTAACTTGAGCATGTGATTATCTCATTCTTGCTTATTTCACTATGAGACTGTGAGTTCCTGGGGCTAAGAAACTCTGCCTGAGTTACCTTCAACATTCATCTCCACACTTAGCTTGGAAACCTGCAAGGGTACTCAATAAAACTTTGGGAGAGCGAGTGGGTAAATAGAGCTTGGACAAGTTCCTGGAAATACAGGTAATCTGGCAGGAATCCACAACAAAGCCATTATGTTTCGGAAGATTCCATAAGAAACATTCAAACATGTCTAATTACCTGTGACTTGGGATAGTAAAATGAAGTCCAGTTTGGAAGCAATCCTAGGCTTTTTTGCCAATACCAACAGCAACCACCACCTACAGAGCCTGGCCTCACTCTGGCTTCCTCTGTGCTCCCACCAGTGCTCAGCCGCTCGCGATGGAAAGCAGCAACCTTTGGCGGCAGATCAAGCATAGCGTCACTTGTGCAAATCCACCCCTCTGCATGTGGAGTCCCTTCCTGCTCCTCTCTTCCGACTTGGGTTAGGGCCATTGGATGCTCATCTTAGCTCCCTTCCTGGAACTACGTTTTCCATCTGGTCGCTGTGCTTCCGAACTCTGGGCTCTGAGGGGGGTTTGTCTTCCGATGCTCCTGTACACACATGCTCTCCTCTACAATGAACTCATCATCCACTAACCCCGCTTTATCCTGTTTTGGACTTTCTGGCCTGTTCTAAATTTGCCCTAGTGATCGGTGTGGGGTTGTTCTGTTTTCTGCATGTTTTAATGAGGCTAGTTTGTTATAAAGTTTTGTACATTATTTTCTTTTTTCTGGTTATAAAAGCAAAACACTTATAAAAGTACGAGCGATACAGATTGTTCATGAAAACAGCAAAAATCTCCAGTGCTACTCTCACGCATTGTTTGATATCTGTTCTTCTTTCCATGTGCATGTGGACACACATACTTTCCCCCCCAAAAGTATGATTGCTCAGAATATCATGCGTGTTCTGTGCACACTGCTCTACAACATGCTCCTCTTTAGTACTATTGCATAGGTTTCTTTTTGTCTCAGTGTATATAAACTCTGTTTTATTTACTTATTTTTGAATCCCTGCCTGAGGATAACGTGCATTGATTCAGAGAGAGAGAGCGAGAGAGAGAGAGAAAGTGCAAAACACCATCGTGTGAGAGAAGAATTGTAGGGGACGGGTCTGTCTTGGCCTGGCAAATGTAACTCAGCTCTGTATGGAAAACCTACAGAAGTGAAGTGGTGGGCAGGAGCCAGACCTTCAAACTGAGTTTTCCCGTGGGAATCAGGCCTAGAAAATGCATACAGATTGTATGGCTTGCTCTTGCCAAAACTCCATCACCCTGGTCTAAAACAACAAATGTGCCTTGCCTATCTTCAAGGTAATTTCCAAAGCCTGTATGAGTTCTCCCAAAGACAGAGCTAATTGGCTCATCGCCATTCCCCTCTGCATGTTATTTTCATTTCCTTGATTGTACCTAAAATGTAGATTCTATGTAATAGACAATAAATCTTGCTCTGATGTAAGACCCCAGGGAAACAATAAAAGCCTGTCCAGGCAAGGGTCAGGGTGCTCTCCTCTTGAGACAGTGGCGAGGCATCCACAGGCACTCTCCCCTTGAGAGAGTAGCTGTGCCATTCCCTTTTTCTCTGCAGGATTGTTGTTGCCTGCTTCTCTTCATCAGCCCCAACAGGCGGGCTCTTCTGGCTGGAGTTTGCCACAAAAACCATTAATCCGTTGCCTCCCGTACATACACACCCCGACCAGGAACAAACCGGCACCCTAGGCATGCGCCCTGACTGGAAATTGAACCAGTGATTCCAACCAACTGAGCCACCCAGTCAGGGCAATTCTGCTTGTTGGAGAGTAAATACATTTTACTGATGTATTTTAGTTTGTCAATCCCATAGTGATAGAAAGTTCAGTTTATTTTGTTGTTCCTTGGAAAGAATTTGCTTCAGTAAATACCTTTGTACAAGCTGTCTTACCTCTTCTGAGTACCTATTGCTGCAGGTGACGTTTCTCTAGTGGAGTGCAGGATCAGAGGGTATAGCACCTAAGGTTTTCATGAACGTTTTGCCTTGAAAATATCACACCAAAAATGTACGAGGGTCCCTGTGTCCCCACACTGTCACAAACACTAGAGCTCAGCAAAGATTTTAACCCCTGACAATTCAGTGTGAAACCTCTTTGTTGTTCTATTTTGTGTTTATTTAATTATTAAAGACTGGGGATTTTTAAGTGTTCATTGACTATTGATGTTTCTCTCTGAGAGGGACGCACTTGCTAAGTCCCTTAGCTGTTGTCTTTATTCATTTATTGGATTTCTTTATACAGAACTTTGTCATGTATTGCAATTATTTTCCTGCCTGATGCTTACCATTTAAATCTGTGTCCTTTCTAAATGGAAATACGATATTTTATGTAGTTGACTCCGTTAATTTTTGTTTTCATGTTTTTTTATTATTGTATCATAAGAAAGGACACCTCTGCCTTAAGAGTATGCAAACATACACACATATTTTCCTATAGTGTATCCTAAAAAACATTATTATTGCTAATTTTAGTATAAAATTAGCAATAATAAGTCTGAGGTTGGGCCTTTTTGCGAAACATAACTGCTGCCGTTTCAGAGGGTGAGCACCGGCCAGTTTCTGGGGCCCCTTGTCCTTCCCCACCTGAGGACTGGTGTAAGTGGGAAGATAAACCAGGTAAGGACGAGGGGGCGGAGTAAATTGTTGTACTCAAGGTGCTCATTTTTAGAAGTCCACAATATAAGCTCACCAGAAGGAAAGCTAGCTTTATTGACTTCCTTGTATTAGCGATATAGTCCTGATCTGAATAATAATTTTGCTGTAACTACAAATCACCATCCTCCCTCAAGGTACCATTTTCTTACTATTTTGAAAATGTTCAGTCTCATTTAACTCTTTATGCCCTGACTTCCAGATTTAATTTTTGATATCAGTCCATCTCCACTAAAAAATGCTTGATTTTCTTTGTCTCCTTTTTAAAAAATATATTTTATTGATTATGCCATTATAGTTGTCCCATTTCCCCCCTTCATTCCCCTCCACCTTGCACACCCTCCCACCCACATTCCCCCCATTTAGTTTATGTCCATGTGTCATAAGTTCTTTAGCTTCTACATTTCCCACACTACTCTTGCCCTCCCCTTATTTCCTCCCCACCGTCTATGTTACTTATTCTCTGTACCTTCTCCCCCCTCTCCTCCTCCCACTCCCCTGTTCCTCCTGGAAGTCTATTTCCTTTGCTAAATTGGGGAAGTTCTCCTTAATTGTTTGTTCAAATACCTTTTACACTTGTTACTCTTCCTCTTTTCCTTCTTGTACCCCTATATTTCAGATGTTAGAACATTTAAAATGTCCTGTAGGTTCCTAAGCCTCTCCTTATTTTTTTGAATTCTTGTTTCTTCATTCTTGTCCATTTGGTTCTTTCTTCCTCCTGGTCCACGCCACTGATTTGAGTCCCAGTGTTATTCCCATCACTATTGGTTCCCTGTGCATTTTCTTTCATTTCACTTAGTGTAACCTTCATTTTTTTCATCTAATTTGCAACCAAAATCAACCAGTTCTGTGAGCATCCTGATCACCAGTGTTTTGAATTGTGCATCTGATAGGTTGGCTATCTCTTGGTAGTTCAGAAGTATTGGCTCTGGGGCTTTGATTTGTTCTTCTGATTGAGCCATTTTTGGTCAGGT